GAATTTTTCAACAGTGCAAACCTGGTGCTTAAACACACAGAAGGCAGTAAATAAATATTTGTTGAATAGATTTAGATTAGCATAAGCTTGCTTGCTTTTTTTCTCTTTCTTTCTTTCTTTCTTTCTTTCTTCCTTCCTTCCTTCTTTTTCTTTTCTTTCTTTCTTTCTTCTTTTCCTTTCTTTCTTTCTCTTCTTTCTTTTCCTTCCTTCCTTTCCTTCCTTCCTTCTTTCCTTCCTTCCTTCTTTCTTTTCTTTCTGACAGAGTCTCACTCTGGAGTGCAGTGGTGCCATCTCAGCTCACTGCAGCCTCCACCTCCTGGGTTCAAGCCTCCCAAGTAGCCGGGATTACAGGTGCACAGCATCACAACTGGCTAATTTTGTTATTTTTAGTAGAGACAGGGTTTCACCACGTTGACCAGGCTGATCTCAAACTCCTGGCCTCAAGTGATCCACCCGCCACAGCCTCCCAAAGTGCTGGGATTACAAGCCTGAGTCGTTGCACCTGGCCAGAGTAGCATAAGCTTCTGAGTCTCAGTTTCCTCTGTATCAAATAAGATAATGTAGGTAAAGAGCCTAGTACAGTGTCTGGCACAGAATAAAGCACTTAAAAACAGGAGGTACCTGCACCTGTAGTCCCAGCATATCAGGAGGCTGAGGTAGGAGGATCGCTTGAGCTCAGGAGTTAGAGACCAGTGTGGGCAATATAGCGAAACCCCTCCTGTACAAAAAATACAAAAATTAGCCGGGCACAGTGGCACACAGCTGTAGTCCCAGTTATTGGGGAGGCTGAGGTGGGAGAATGACTTGGGCCTGGGGGTAGAGGTTGCAGTAAACTGAGATGGCACCACTGCATTCCAGCCTTGGCGACAGTCAGGCCCTGTTTCAAAAAAAAAAAAATTGAAAATTTGGCTGGGTGTGGTGGCTTACACCTGTAATCCCAGCACTTTGGGAAGCTGAGGTGGGCAGATCATCTGAGGTTTGGAATTTGAGACCAGCCTGGCCAACATGGCAAAACCCCATCTCTACTAAAAATACACAAAAAAATTAGCTGGGTGTCATGGTGTACACCTGTCATCCCAGTTACTTGGGAGGCTGAGGCAGGAGAATCACTTGAACCCAGGAAGTGGAGGCTGTGGTAAGCTGAGATCACACCACTGCACTCCAGCCTGGGCGACAGAGTGAGACTCCGTCTCAAAAAAAACCCACAAAATTTAAATTTAAAAAATTTAAAAAGTAAACAGAAGCCACTCAGTGGGGTTTTATTAAGAGGAACAGGTAATCCCTAACCACCAATCCTGTAGCCTCTTATAATAAGAGACAGAACAGCAAAGGGCAGTTAATTCAATCTCTTGTAGACGACAAATAAAATGGCTAGGTTTCCTTATCTGCAGCTACCATCCTCTTGCCTTTATTCTTCATCAAACGTTGACAAGAACTCCATGGAGAACTAAACCTCAGCCCATTTC